CTTCTCTACGAGCTGAGGTATGCATTCTCTCATTGTATTCACTACGACTTACGCTTACAATGTACCTACAGTATTCGTACTTACACGTACTTAGCCTGTTTCAACAGGTTATGAGCCCCGGCAAGCTCTAACCGTGACCGTTTTCGCACCGTATTCCCTACAAGGCGAGTCCTCGATTGATCTTCCCACTTCTCGAGCGCCGCGGGGATAGTCTGACCGGCCGCGCGAGCACCTTCAATGGTGTCGTGGGCGGAGTGCGGATCGTCGCTCTTCGGAGTGTCTCGCGAGCGCGGTGACGGAGCATGGCGATGCAGAAGCCGCGCAAGCTAGTTGTTCGCTTGCTGTCCGTGCGCGCCCCCCTTTCGTTACGATAATGGCTCGTTCCTGCTAGCCGGTGCCGTATTAACAGTGCGGTTACCTGGTATGTGCGGTTCCTGAACTGTTGGCCCTTGACCGAGCTACTCGGCGGGGTTGAGGTGTCCCAGGGTCGAGGGAGGTAGTCAATCCACCCGGCCCGCACCTAACACAACTGCGGGTTCTGCGTATTTACGACTATACGTACGATAATTACTATACACGGCCATTCTACGTACAGTTTCGGTCCACTTCCATGCGCGCGCGGGCAGTAGGCAGGCTCGGGACTCTCTACGAGTTCCGGAAATGATCCCGCACTAGGACGGGTTGCGCGCACTGCGCGCGCGACCTCGTGGTGCTAAATCACATTCATTTTGTGCTACGGTCCTTACGAATCTGGTCTGACCGACTCCTCGGACCAGATTGATCCACCTCATGTCTGCGGAAGTTCTCCCCAAAGGCTTCCAGCTCCTCGATGGCTCGAACTGGCCGTCGTGGAGTGCTGCGATGAAGGACCTTCTCCAGACGAAGAAGGTGTGGCGATATGCTTCGGGCGAACGCAAACCGCCCCGCGATCCTCGATTCGACTATTCAGTCAAGACCGAAACCGATAAGGATTCGGGCGTCACCTCGACAGTTGACATGTCTACGCCCAAGTCGGCCAAAGATCTGGCTAAGCTCACTCAGGAAGTTCTCGATGCTTACGACTCGGCTCAAAACTCATGGCTTGAGTCCGACGATGCCGCTTTTGGTCTAATCAAAGCTGGCTGTGTTCGCTCGATCCGCGATGCTGTCGCGACCGAGAGGACCTCCGAAGCAGCTTGGGACGAGCTCGAGGAACGCTATGGCACGCCCGGCACCCTTCAAATCTTCACGCAGTTCGAGAACTACATGTCCCATGTCTTCACTGAGGACAAGGAACTCTCGAAACAGTTCGCCGCCCTTGACGACCTCTACAATCAGCTAAAAGACTCCGAGATTCAGATCCCGGATGTTCTTCATGGCTACATTCTTCTTCGCGCCCTCCCCGATTCGTACGCCGATACGCGCTCCATCATCATCAATTCGTTCACGAACCTTGAAAACGCGACCTCGCTCGTTGTCAAGCAGCGCATTCTTGGCGAAGAAGCTCGCCGCAAGGCACCCGGCCCGGGTTCTGTGCCCTCGGTTAGTGCGCAGCGCGCTCAAGCTGCGCAGACCTGCTCGTACTGTGGCAAGAGCGGTCATACCGAGAAGACATGCTTCAAGAAGCGCGGGGATGAGAAGAGGAAGAAGAAGGGAAAAGGGAAGGATAAAGGGAAGGAGGGAGGAGGGAATGGGGGAAAATCGCTAAGCTCGATGGAGGCCGAGGCCGCCCCGAGCACCCCTGTACCTAGTTCGAACACGATGGCTGCTTCCTGGTACACCACGCGTGATAGCAAAGCCCGATGGATGATCGATTCCGGCAGCTCGGATCATATCACTCCTCATCGGGCCGACTTCATTGAGTACACACCTCTATCCACACCTGGCAAAATTACTCTCGGTGAAGCGCAAGCTTCTATGCCTTATGTGGGTATTGGTACAGTGAAGGGCTTCACTATGGTCGAGGGCAATCGTGTAGACATCACCCTTAGTCGGGTCCTCCATGCTCCTGCTGCTGCGAATCGCTACATCTCGGGGACCACTTTAATCGATCGTGGGTTCTCCTTGGCGATGAGTGGCTCGGTTTGCCGCATTCATCAGGGCGATGATGTGTTTGGGATTGCTCGCAGGCACCAGAAGTTCTACTGGTTGCAGCTCGAGCCTCTCCCTTCACTCAGTGCTCTCGCAAAGGCCAAAGCCGTGTCTCCCGACATCGCGCATGGGCGCTTCGCCCATGTTTCCTATGGCACCCTTGGACGGTTCAAACCAGAGAACGTCCATGGAATCGAAATTGACTTGCACGGCGATCACACGCTGCCTTGTCATGGTTGCCAATTAGGGAAATCGCGTCGGAAGCATCGCGGAATCTCGTCCACACGAGCCACGAGGGTCCTATATCGAGTTCATACAGATCTCATGGGACCTTTCCATGTGCGCTCTAGGCAGGGGTACATTTACGTCGCCACGTTTCTAGACGATTATTCTGGTCTGGGTCAAATTTGGTATCTCAAAGCCAAAGATGATTTTCCAGATGCGTTCGAGGAGTTCCTCGCTCGCGCGCAGACAGAGACAGGTCAAAAGCTAGTCTATCTGCGTTCAGATCGTGGTGGCGAGTACACTAGCAACGAGTTCGAGGCCCGGCTGAGAGAGCTTGGTGTACAGCACGAGACATCTGTGCCATATACACCCGCCCAGAATGGACGTGCAGAGAGGTTCGGTCAAACGATATTGTACAAAGCCCTAGCTATGCTGCATCATGCAGGGCTCGCCCTCTACTTTTGGCAATATGCTTTTGATGCGGCGCTCCACGTGTACAATCGGACCCCGATGCGCAGGCTCGGGTGGAAAACTCCATCCGAACTTTACACCGGCAACGTTCCCGACGTTTCCCATTTCCGTGTGTTTGGTTGTCAGGCATATGTTCATGTCGTAAAGAAGAAACGAAAGAAGCTGGAAAAACACGCCCGTTCAGACTGCTCGTTTCTTGGCTATGAACCGAACTCCAAGGGATGGAGGTTCTACGACCACGACACACGGTCCGTTGTTTTCTCCGACGAGGCAGAATTCAACGAGACCACATTCAAATCGCGCACGGCTGCTCCTGGTCGTGCACCTGCCCCACTGCCACAAATACGCATCTCCGATCTGCTCGAAGTATCTCCCGAGCTAGATGAGGGACCGGCCCCTGTGGCTTCGGTTCCGACGAAAACGGACCCTGCACCTGTCACTGCGGACGCGCCGCGTGGCGGGGACAATCCCGAAGAAGTGCCCTTACCTCCTTCGCCTCTTACTCCCCTTTCGAGCCGCTCTTCGAGCCCTGAACCTGCTACCGAGTCTCATGGCCCGCGCAGATCTACTCGTCCTGGTAAAGGACAGCACGGGCATGGACCAGGTTACATGTATGGTGTCAAGATGGTCACTTTGACGTACCTTGATGCTAGTTCGGCTCCGAGCATTAGCTCGATTGTTGATATGGGGATGGCGAAGATCCCGAAATCTTATCGGGATGCCGTGAAGTCCGAGTTTTGGGACAAATGGCTAGAGGCTATTCGGTACGAACTCGCCCAGCTGGCTGCACATGGTACCTGGGAAGTCGTAGACAGGCCCAATGGTGTCAATGTAGTAAAATGTCGCTGGGTTTTCGCGATAAAGCATGACGGCCGATTTCGGGCTCGTCTTGTTGCGAAGGGATTCACGCAGGTCTTCGGAGAAGACTATTTCGAAACTTTCAGTCCGGTCGCCCGATTCGAGACTCTGAGGTTCCTATTGGCGCTTGCCGCGCGTCATGATTGGCACCTCGTGGGATTGGATGTCAAATCGGCATTCCTCTATGGCGATCTGGACGAGGAGATCTATATGGAGTTACCAGAAGGTTTCGAAGGTCAGCAAGGCACGGCGGGGAAGGTGGCGAAGCTGCGAAAAGCCTTGTATGGGCTCAAGCAGGCTTCTCGGGTCTGGAATGAACAGATCGATGCCGCCTTGAAGGAGCTCGGGTATGCTAGGACCTACGCGGACACCAGCATCTACGTCTATCGTCGACAGGCGGGGAACACGACGTGTATACTCGTTCTGTATGTCGACGATATGGCTTTGATGGGCAATAACCGCGCCGAGCTAGACCGAATCAAGTCCGCGCTACAGTCCAAATATGAGATGACCGATGCCGGCGATCTCGCGCACTTTATCGGCCTTCGGATCTCTCGGGACCGTGGTTCGAGAACACTGGAAATCGACCAGTCTGCGTACCTTGCAGAAGTTCTCCAGCGGTTCGGAATGGCCGACGCGACCCCTGTTCGTACCCCTTTGCCTGCAGGCTTAGTCCTGCAGAAGTCGACAGAACCTGTGGACTATGAGCGCCGAAAACTGTATCAGTCCATCGTCGGTAGCCTTATGTGGGCAGCCATTGCTTCACGGCCCGACTTTGCCTACCACGTTACTAGGCTGTCCCAGTACTGTTCGAATCCGTCTTCGGACCATCTCGCAGCAGTCAAACATGTTCTCAAATATGTCAAGGGGACTGTAGACTTGCGATTGCGTTATGATGGTCGCGCTGAGCGCCTGGATCTGCACGGCTACTGCGATTCGAACCACGCGGAAGATCGGGATGATCGTCACTCCATTTCCGCATTCGTCTTCATGATGAGCGGCGGGGCGATTGCGTGGTTGTCGCGGAAGCAGTCCATTGTCGCGCAATCAACCGCAGAAGCGGAATACATTGCAATGGCTGAGGCAGCCAAGCAGATTCAGTGGTACACGAATCTATGCGAGGAACTCGGCCTCCCGGACCCGACCCCAGTGAACCTTCAATGCGATAATCGTGCCGCGCTGTTAACGGCGACGAATCCCGTCGTCGGGCGCAATATGAAGCATGTTCATCTGCGGTATCATTACATCCGCGAGGCTATCGAGTCCCGTCTCGTCAAGGCCGTCCCTGTCCCCTCTGCTGACAACCTCGCAGACCTTCTTACGAAGGCACTGACTGCAGACACCTTGTCGCAGCTCAGTGGGAGACTCGGCATGATTCGTGTCCCAGAGCCGTAGCCGCTCGCGCCGACGTTCCCGTCAAGTGGGAGTGTTGAAATGTGTGACGGACACGTCACCGCCGCGTCGCGGCGGTTCGTAGCACGAGGCTACGACGCGCGCGCGTTCAGCCGCGCGTGCCATCGATTCTCGTTATGGACTCCCTGTACACGTACCTGGCTTGTAATACCTATCGATTAGCTTACCAAGATCCGTACTGTACAGTCAGGATGCTCAGTAAGACCACTGTCTGCTTAGCTATGTCAGAAAAACTTCACGACTTCCGAAAGTATTTAAACATGTTTTTCCTGACCGAAATACCTCAGTCTCTTCTCTACGAGCTGAGGTATGCATTCTCTCATTGTATTCACTACGACTTACGCTTACAATGTACCTACAGTATTCGTACTTACACGTACTTAGGTACAGCAATATAGTCTCTTCTCTACGAGCTGAGTATTCGTACTTACACGTACTTAGCCTGTTTCAACAGCGCCAGCATCATCTTCAAGAACACGCACCTCAAACCAGTTTATTCTGGTCCTGCGAGTGGCAACCGATCGACGGCCGTAGTAGGTGAAGACTAGAAACTGTGCTGGGGAGGCGCGCTGAGAGTGCTGTCAGGCTGAGATCCGTTGTGTAAGACTCACCTGGCCCTCCGAGTAGTTTATCATGGCGACAAAGGGCGCCCGGCTTGCTTAGGTGCCAGTGCCAGTGCCAGTGCCAGTGCCAGCGACAGCGACAGAAAGCCAGTCCTCTGCGAGCCGCGCTGTCAGATCAAGAGCTTGGCCCTGATGTTTCGAGAGCCACCGCGGCCCTTGATCGTCTGCAATTGTTCATAACGACCGGCCAGTTGTAGCGCAAAGTGGGAGTAGCTAGGTAAGGTGAAGCCAGCGAAGGGCTGCGGCGGAAAGTCTGCATGTCGGCGATCGCCGTGCGCTTCTCTTACCACGACCCGCGACCTTCTCCTACATTGCGCTCGCGATTTCCAACATGGCGACCACTGCCATTCTTGGTACGCTCGGGCCATCCTCCGTTGAAGGGCCTGCATGCCCTGCCAATGACAAACCTGCGTCTCCCGTGAATATCTGTTGTTTCATGATGGGAACGGAGCTTGCCGTTCGTCGCACCTTCCTGTAGCTTCCGCTTTGGACGATCTCTGTGACGTCCGCTACCAGCGGCGGAGTACATGTTCCGTTAGATCACGCTACGCCAGCGCTAAGTTCGCCCTACAGGGTTTGTGTGCATGGCGGTAAGGTCTTCAACCTCATGCCTCAGATCCTGCCTTCGAATCCTCGTTGCAGGCCTCACACAGCTGTATACACTAAAGCCCTCGCGCATGCGTAGCAGCGACTTTGACCCGCTACTCAACCTCCTCCGAGTCTGAGTTTTCTGTAGCGTGTGGTACGCGAAATGTAGAGGCCGCAGACAACTATTCTTTGAAGTTGAGATACATCGAAGACCGCGGTATCGAAGGGTTTGACATAAGATACATCGGTAAGGGTACATGGGAGGAACATTCTATGAAGACGCAGAAGAGGCCGTAACGATGTATAGTAGGCGCGCAGACGGACATCAGAGTGACGGACGAAAGAGACACTCGACTGCTGCCTGCATCGCGCCGACGGATATGCTACGCCGGGTGCGGACAGGCGATAGGCGTACACGAGTCTGACGAGTTTGACGCAAATGCCGCCACCAAAGCCGACCTTGCAAGTGATCGCATATCCTCATTCCATGCGGCGATCTTCTTCGCTCGCCGAGGGGCGAAGCCGCTTGAGGAGGGGTAGCCTTCGAGACGGACTCGATTACATCAGTCGAGTAAGAGGAGCTGAATGATATTCTACGAATACAGTGAGTGTTGTGTCCGATAGGTCAACATAGACGGACCTAATCCTAGACGATACCGATTCTGCCGTCCAAGTGACCCTCCATGTCGGTGAAGCTCGAGTCGCGCATGAACGGCGACGGTCGTCGAGATGAGATGAGTTAAGCAGCATGCACGCACGAGAGTATGCAAGTGGTGCTCTAAGAAGAAGCCAGCGAGATGATGGAGACCAGGAGACAATTGATGGAGTGCAATTGCCACTCGTTCGAGTCGATGGGGAAGGACGTGGTGAGTGCAGCACCAGACTTCTCCCGGACTCCGGAGGAGGTAGTCTCTCTAACGTAGGATGACGAGAGTGATCCTAGAGGAGCATTAGCGTGAAGGTCAAGATAGGCGAAAGCGTATTGCTGACATCAACAGGGTAAGGCAGAGGCCACGCGAGGGAGTAGGCGAGAATCTCAGCCTGATCCAAGGAACCGAGGCAAGACACGGTTGACAGATCGTGATGACACGGGCGTAGATGACATGGTTGCGCATACGCTGGAAGATGATCCGCGAACCGCGGATGGCGTGGACGATCGTGGAAAGACCGGACTCCGCAGGGACTACGTCGACGGCACCACGAGTGGCGTCAGTGGCACGTTCAAAGGAGATATCCCCGTTGGCGCGCGAGAGAGCGCGAGTCTCGTTAGAGTCGTCACTGGTCATGGTGCAAAGATAACCGAGACCCTGGAGGTGCTTGACAATCTCGAACTTGTGTTCCAGGAAGACTCCGGCAAAGCCATCGCCGTCCACACCGATTATGTCGAGCAAGCAGGGCTTCGTGTCGGAGGGGGGGCATGTACCTGTGGTCGCCAGTTCCCTGTCGGCCATGAAACCGAGAGTCGTGTCGCAGTCGATGGTCCGCGTAATGTTGTCGTGGAGCGGTTCCAGAATTGGGAGTAAGCTAATAAGCTCAAAGCCCAGGCCCAAGCCCTCTGGGTTCTTGCCGTCGACCGATAGCCTTGTGGCAAGCTACAAAGCGCCGGCAGGCGAGCGTTGTGTTCGAGGAGATGGTTGAATCGTTGAACAGGTCGACGAGCCGAGCAGCATGTAATCATCCGCATGAAAGAGGCACACAGACAGACTGTCGAAGGCAGGAAGAGCCAGAACGTGTGATGCACGCACAGGGTAGACATCGTGGTTGCGCGTCGAGCCATGTAAACGCGCCTCAGACGCGCGTCAGGGGGTTTTCCCACTGTGACCAGAATCAGTTCCGCTGCCGCGGCGCGTCACTCGTCTCGTTCGGAACAGGCTTGACAAAACATATTACGTCTCATAAGGGAAAGCTCTACTCATGCTGTAGTGCCGACTTTGTACACTGGTGTCTCTGTGTGCGTGCCGGATCGGGTGGAGCTTCAAGCTGCAGCAACGGAGTTGGGATTCGCCCGTCCGTATTACTTCTGAAGTGTAACACGTACGGCTTTGTGCGCTAGGCTGAGAGCTGCTCCCACCAGATTGGAAGATTCACGATCCCTCAGAGTCGGACCTACCGCTGGAAGGGTGGCGAGATTAGATGCCGATACACCGTACTACACGACTGCAACATCGTCCGAGGCTCATACCTTTCTCTCATTCTGCGAGCCAAGATATTTCCATAGGCCAGAAGGACTCTGTAGTCCCCTGCCCCGCCCGTTGTTGTAATGCTACACACACTTCCGGAAGGATCGTGAAGGGAACTCAAATGAAGCAGCGCCAAGTCGCCAGTGCCTGCTCCACGCGCATTGGGTCAGAGAATATAGCCGGCGAAGTAGAAGAGCGCTGTGCTCCGTCAGCTAGAGACTAGCTCACTTCAAGAGTTGATATCACGGTCATTATTGACACATATCAGAGTGGTGTTCGCAATGTCCGAGAGTTCTTCAATAGCGGACTGCGTAAACGCTATGCGTCGGGTATTGGCCATTTCAGCCCCTTCCTCACTACGATACCACTTCCACCACTCACAACGGTGCAGACGGTATAGAGAGAATGCGCCGAGTCCGAGTACATGGGTGATGAAAGCTCCCATCAAACGGGAGCGCGCAGCGACGACGAGAAGCGCTGAATTCATGCAGCGTGAAATGGCGAACTGTAGGGATCACGGACTAGTGACATGGCGTTCCACGAGGACTATGCCCAGGAGGTACCGAATATGGAGGAAATCAAACTTGCTGGCGACCTGGGTGTACACACTTGTCTCGCTTCGTTGCGGGCGCTGTTGACAAGATTGCGATGCGTTCGCCGGCCAAGTTGTTAATGGGTATCGGGCATGCATGCGCCAAGTGTGACCATCGTATATGCCGCGGTATTCAATGCGTCCGTCGCCTTCATTGGTAAATACAGGAGGCGGTGCACGACTCGGATCACGACTGTAGTTAACGCATGAGATTAGTCCTTCATACTCCCTAGTAGACATCTAAGTTCCCTCTCCGCCGTGCGATGTCGTAAGTCCCACGTCTATCTCAGCGAAGGCTCCACGCCGCCGGTTGGATAGGGGTACCCGCCGCGCTCGGCGATACCAAGGCTGCGTCTGCACGTACTGAATGGGCTCAAGCTCGTAGTCCTTCTCCTCCATGCGGAGCTCCTCCATTTCATGAGCGTGAAGCGTCTGGAGCCATGCCTGACCGTGCCATCAACTCGTGAGTATGCGATAGGCCCCGTAAGACTGCGCACCTCGTCGTAGCAATTGCGAGGCAGCCCAGACGGCGCCACAGAAGCCTGGTTGACTCGCGTAGAAACTTCACGAAAACGCGGATTCGCACCCGGTTTCTGTCGGTGACCAACTCGAGGTCTGCTCAAGTCTCGAACAACAGGGTCGATCGAGCGTTGCCAATTTTGAAAAGCGGCACTTCGCCAGGCAGGAGATATACGGATCGTCTTGTCCATGGCCTGACCAAGCACATCCGTCGCGAGTTCGTCAGAAGACTCATCTGAGCTAACTCCTTGTACGCCGGCACTCTCCATCAGCTGCCTGTGTTCGGGAGCGATTTTCTCCACGGCATCGAGCCGCTTCTCGTATAACTGTACAACACTATCAGACACTCTGGCATATTTTGCTTCGTAGGCGAACGCACCCTGTACTTCCGTGAACTGCGGGCACCCGCGGCCAAACGATCATCCGTCTCCTCCTCCGTCTCCTTGTGTACGAATTTCCGGTAGAATAAAGACTTCACCCATTTCGCGTGATTGTATACAGCAGTCAGTACATGTCGGCGTTGCAAGAATTCATCTGGCAGTGGGGATGGATGACTATACTCCCCAGCTTCGACGCGCCTCAAGAACGATTGCGTAAAGACGGAGAACGCGTGCAGATTGAAAGGATGAGAGCGTTTGAGCTTGAAGTCGAAACGGTACGCCTCCTCGGAGATCTGTATACGGGTCGGTGACCGACTGTTGAAGTCGTCCAGTTCTTCGGGTGTTAAGGGGCGGCAAGGTGGCGAGTCAAGTTGCAGGCTCCGGATGTCGTCCACTCCCATGAGTTCTCTGAAATGAACGCGTATAGATTTCTGAATACATGTGAGCGGCGTACAATGAGAGGAAAAGGTTGTCCTACCAGAAACTGATCGTAGAGGGGATGCTCTGCAATTGCAGGATCCACCTTGGAAGCAGGAATTGACACAGCGTTCCCGTCTTTCCCGTTCCGTGCTGGTTTCTTGCGCTTGCGGGCAGCAGAGCCTGATGCTTCAGCGTTGGGCTCCCGTGTATGTGTCTGCTGGAATCCCTGGAACTCGGACCGTAGAGTGTTTCCTTGGGTTTGGATGTTCTTCAGCGTATCTTGTTGGTTCCTCAGGGTGGCGACTAATCTGGCCAGGGTAACGGCAATGTCTGATTTGACGTGAGAGCCTTTCTGAAGAGGATGTGATAGCGGATGAAATTCTCACCGTCCGGTGGACCCGGGTCTTCGGGGGATGTGCTCGCATTGGTTGTCGCTTGACGTGGAGGATGACCTTCAGGCGAGGGTCGCTGAGGACTCCCCGGCTGCGTACTCGTCGAAGTAGATTCTTGAGCCGTAGGCATGGGATTCGAAGGGCTAGTAGAAGGACCTGCCGTCGGATGATTGCGCGAGCCGCCACGTATGGGCTCCTTTCCTTTGGGCTCAGGCGTAGGATTCATCGGTTTCTCACGAGAAGAGTCGGCGGTCGGGAGACCTGATGACGTAGGATGACCTTCAGGCGGCGGTCGTTGAGAACTCCCCGGCTGTGTACTCGTCGAAGTAGATCCTTGAGCCGTAGGCATGGGATTCGAAGGGCTAGTAGAAGGGCCTGCCGTAGGATAATTGCGCGAGCCGCCACGTATGGGTTCCTTTCCTTTGGGCTCAGGCGTAGGATTCATCGGTTTCTCACGAAAAGAGCCAGAGATCGGGGTACCTGATGACGTAGAATTGGTTGTCTTTTGAGTGGCGGCCTGAGGAAATCGGGGTACTCCTACTGTAGCCAAGAGTCGGCGATCAGCACAGTATATGTGTGAGAGGGGGTGATTTGAGCTGACCGATAGGTATCTCCTCATCTTCATCGTCACAGCGCATACGATCTTCCGCTCCAGATTCAGCAGGACCCGGTGTGTTTTGACCTGGGCGTGCGCGAGGTAAGTCACACGAGTCTCTCACAGAGAGTGCTGTTTTGAGCTGACCGATAGGTATCTCCTCATCTTCATCGTCACAGCGCATACGATCTCCCGCTCCGGATTCAGCAGGACTCGGTATCCTTTGATTTGGGCGTGCGGGAGCTGAGCGACATGAGCCTCGCGCATATGCGAGACAGATTTCGCCAATACATACAAAAACGTGGTGCGTTCGCCGTTTCCTGCTGCCCTCTGCAATCTTGATACGGTGTCCCAGGCACAATCGGCTCATGTACATTCATTCCAGGAGTGGAAGATCGCGCCTGCAATGTCGAGTCAGAAATCAACGGCGACGGCGAAACATTCATGGACTGAAGTACTTCGCTCGGGTCCGGGACCGGCAATGGTGGAGAATTGGTTTCGCTAACGCGAGAAGTAGAAGCCGCTCCGGTCGAGACATTGGGCTCGCGCACATCCATCCGACGAGGTAGTCTTTGTTCTACAATCCGTTAAAACACCATCGCCCCGTCGTTAGAAGGCGCGAAGTCTACATACTGGCGCGGTTGATCTGGGAGCGTACATTATCTAGCTTCTTCCTCATCGATGTAGTGACGGGATACTTGTCTTCCCAAATACCCGTCTGCCTCAACAGTCAGCGCTGAACGTACGGGAATAGAGGGATCACGTACCGGATTCCGAAATCGCGCCGGCCGACTCAGATTACTGGGAGTCAGATAATCTTCAGCCTTTCTCTTGCTCAATGTGCTAGGCGGAGGAGAAACTGAGCCACTCATTCGAGTAGACAGAGTAGTGGGAGCTCAGAGAGTCCAGCAGACGCTTGCAGCGTATTCTGGATGCGCAGGAATAGATGGCAGGGCGTGCAAGAGAGCCGAGCAATCGATAACCCTTTACAAACAAGACGAGCACCAGTGCTTGCTATCTCAGTGTCACCTGGTCCGCGGTGGTCTGAGGGCACCCGGCAGCAGATGCGTCGTTTGACGCTGGAGCAGGCTAGCGGGCGAGTGATGTTGCGTTCGTCAGCGGCGACGACGAATCCCTCATTTGGGCAGCCTGGCATGCGGGCGATCCTCAGTACGGCGAATCGCGATACTATGGCCGTTGCGAAGTGTCGGAAATGTCCGCGTGCATGAAAAAGAGGCGATTCGGGCAGCGCCGCGAGTAGCGAGAAACACATGCGGGGAACTGCTGCCGATCGGCTTCGAGCCTAACTAAGATTCTGGGATCTGAACGAGCACCATCTCGGTATCCCGCGAGCTGAGAGTGCATCACGTTGTCACGCAAATGTAATAGCGATATTGGAAGAGGACGTGGTGGTTGCGGCACAAGGTGGGAGCCTTGCGGCCCTCTCGGCGCGTCGTTTCGGGAGTTGCCACTTCCATCCGACCAGACACGACCTGGCGGTTTCCGTGTTCTGCGCTCAACGGCCATCTACCGCGTCTTCATCTCTGTCATCTCTCCCATCTCATACGTATCTGAATGAGTCTCTTGCTGGCACTGATATATCCCACGGTGGAGGCGACAATCGCAAGCCTTGGCGGTCCCCGCCTCTCAGGATGGATCGCTACCGACGTGCCTTCAAGTTCTCCTCCCCTTCCCTCGCGCATTCCGTCAACTACCTAGCGTTTTCCAACGACGGGAGCCTTCTTGCGGTCTGCTGTAAGTACGACTGCCCCAAACTTGTAAGTATTCCTACTGAATCGTGTCAAAGCCGACGATCATGTCATCCACATCATATCAACCGAGTCCAAAGGAAAGATCTTCGAGGTGGTCAAGACCCACGGCGGACCCATGGCTGCAGCTGTCTGGTTTTCAGATGGGCGAGGTGGTCATTGGCTAGCGACGGGAGGCCATTATGGTTTCGTACGTCTGCTATATGTGAAACTTGAGGGAAATAAGGTATGCCCCACGGCAATGCTCGTTCGAACTCCCTGCTCATCCGATACTCCAGCTGTCTGTTAACGACGATACCGCCCCGCTGACTCTAGGGGATGACGAGATTGTTGACTTGGTCTCAGACCCGTCAAATCACCATATTGCTGCCGTCGGACTTCATCGACTGTTCGTCCTCGCGATCGAACCTGCCGCTCAAGGTTCGCTCCCATAAGCTTGCGCCCGACATCTGCAGCTGATACTCGTGCTCTCTAGCGCCTCTCAAACTCCTGGAAACATACCCGCCACACGATCAGCCGAAGGAGTCGTCCAGACTATCTGGCGCTGCGTTCTGTGACGCCGGTAACACACTAGTCGTCGCCCACCTCGACGCTCGCATCTTGTGCGCGTCTCCTCTGATCCTCCTCCACGCTCACGTCCCTGACCCGTAACCTCTAGGCGGTTGTATACGCTGGTTCCGTGGTCCGTGCACCACGACCTTAACGTCACATTCAAACCGTGCGCAATCTCGCTGTCCTTGCCGCTCCTACACTGACTACCCTCGTTTCGAGATAGAATCAGTCTAGCCTGGGTTTCTGAGCAGAGGTGCCTGCTCGTATATTGCGTTGATACCGCGAATGTGAGAGTCATCGGGATAAGCAACGAGCAGCTGGTATACCGTCGAACACTACAATTTCCTCACTCTTGTCGAGACGGGTATAGCAAGCAAGTTCGTTCCGCTCAATATGGGCGGTTTGCTCTTTGTGGAACCGGCTGCGGCCACCTTATGTCTTGGGATATTTCCAGTGGCTCACTCGTTCGATGTTCTTACAGGCCGAGAAGAGGTGGGTTATCTTGTAACATGTTCAGCTCGACTTCTCTGAGCATTGTCAGGCGAGATCGGGGTACAGGGCGGCTATCCTGGGCTACAAGTGATTGCCGTGAGTTAGGATCTCCACGAGTCCAGCCTCCGCTGATTCACTTAGAGCGGCAAAGATCGCAATGGGAAGCAACAGCTGGCAGGATCGTGTTACGCTTCATCTTCGGTAGTCGACGTCTGGGAAGATAACACGGTTAGCCCTTCATGTGGTTCGTTCGCGGTCAACGGCTGAATCCGAATCGCAGGTTCACAGGCGGCATTCTACAACCAACTATTGTGTAGTATATATCTTCGTCGGGCTATTCACGTCAATCCTGCTGTTGATTATTTTGGTGAGCGTTCGCCAAGTTATTTGTGCTCTTGTTGTTCATCTGGATACAGCAGCCTCCTATCGAAGGAAACGCGGGCAGGATAGCATTTCGACGGCTCATGAAAACTCTGTAAATTGTACCTGTGCGGTCTCGATACCTCATTATCTGGCCGCTGTATTTGTATACGCACTTCACGCTTTTGATGCATTGCATACTTGACCTATATAGCATGAAGGCCGTCTAATACCTCGGAAGTCGTATCTCGAAGTTTCAGACCGATAGACTCCGCAGATGGCTCCACTCCACGGTATGTGCACTGCTAGGGCTAGGAGAACGTCTCCGACGCCTCTCATGAGTGCAACGACGAGATCAGTACCATTGACACATCTCCCACTGTCTTGTA